CATTTTATTAACCAATTTGCTGCTGACCTTCGGTGATCCAATTCTAATAAGCAAAAATTAAGATAAACGAATTAAGAAAAAACACAAGATAAACTAACATTTCTTCTTCTTCTTTTATTGCTGAAGAGTGTTAAACTTTCCTCTTCTGTGTTCTACTGTACAGACGTGATTTACATTTTCTTCAGCCTGAGGCTTTTGGTGTGAAAGGGCTTTTATATTTGCCAAAAATAGAATAATAAAAAAAACTTTTTATATTAAAAGCAAACAAGCAAGCCCAGCCCAGATTTAAAAAGTAACACAAAAGTAACGTAACACATTACTTTCAATAAAAAGTAACTAAGTAACGTAATTAGTTACTTTTTTTTAGGAAGTAACGCAATATTGTAATGCATTACTTTTAAAAGTAACTTTCCCCAACACTGGGCATGAAGTGCACAACTTTCAGAAGTTGGTCTAAAAAAAACTAAATCGGTCGACTGAAGGAACTTTTTTTTAGTGTTAAATTCATTCAAGACCTCATTCTTCTTACTTTTGTTTTCAGAAACAACTAAACGTGTGATAAATGTAGACTTCAGTATAAAAACATTTTCCTGATTTGATTTAAATCTCTTTATCAGCCCATTATCAAAGGCTTGCTATATATATATATATATATATATATACTGTATATATATATATATATATATATACAGTATACACACACACACTACTAACTACACTAAGATTTTTTAATGTTTTTATAAGTTCATCAAGGCTGCATTTATTTGATCAAAAATACAGTGAAAAATCTTGTTACATTTTTGATTACTTTTTGATAAATGTCCAATTATAATAAAATTACTTTCTTTAAATCTATTTATTGGATTTTTACAGTTAGGTAAACCCATCCTTCCCGAAGGAGGTTTCGGAAGCACTTACACATATGAACAACCGTCTAGGAGCATATGGAAGATTGGAGGTGATTGTAACCCTCTTGGAAAATAGCAGGAAGTCTGCCAGGGAAACACGGGCTCTGAGGCTATACCGTGGACAATACACATATGGGATCCACTTAGGTCTCTACATATGGAATCCAGCCCTCAACCGGTTCTCACGGATTCATAGAGTGAGGGCCTGGTGCCGGAAGCTCCGCCACGTCTGGCTACTGAGGGGACAGAGGAGCTCGACAGGGTCTACAATATGGACTCTCTGGAGCGGTTTTAGCAAGCCGACCAGAAGCCGGGGCCTCTCAGTGCTTCTACCCGTTTGAGGTGAGAACCCAGGAGGATACCGGCTCCACACAAAGGCTATAGAATCTAGCGAACGTGTTGGGGGTCACCCAGCCTGCAGCTCTACAAATATCTGCCAGCGAGGCGCCACGAGGGGGATGTAACACTTCTGGTAGAGTGAGCAAGGGTGGAGGGAGACAGCCTTCGCTCCAACACTTGCTGCAGAAAGGACATTTCCAGGGGTATTCTCGGTGAGAAGAGCACCATTTGATGAACAGGTTCCACTTCAAGGCATAAGTGTGTCTCGTAGACGGTGCTCTCGCCGAAGTGATGGTGTCAACTACCTAAAAATATTTTTAATGACTTATAAGTACATATTACATTCCTATGATGAAAGACACCAAATTGCAATAAATAGGATATATTTATTTTTAAAGGTCCACTGAAGTGCCTTGAAATGTGCAGCGTTCAATGTGTTGACGAAATTTTAAACTTTACAAAATGAAACTAGACTAATTTCACCCCAATGGAAAGCAGATTTACACTGTCTGAACGGTTCCATATCCCCTATACAGTGCACCTTCACCATATAGACCATATAACAGTAATTCTGTGAACAAGTGACCAATTTCAGCCGGAGCTTCAGCCTCTATTTATAGTGTAGGAGGCGGGGCGCTTCAGATTCTAGAGAGCATTTGATTGGACAGGAAATCTGATGAGAAGCTGAAGTGCAGGTTGATGTCATCAAAATCGCTGATCCACATCAGTGGAAGTGAGAGACTGTAAGTTTTGAATGCTTACAGTCGTAGTCAGAATTATTGGCACCCTTGGTAAACTATGATCAAAAAAGGCTGTGGAAATAAATCTGCACTGTTAATCCTATCCATCTTTTATTTAAAAAAATGTACAAAAATCTAACCTTTCATAGAAGAATAAGAATTGAAAATCTCATTATGAAATAAATGTTTTTCTCTAATACACGTTGGCCACAATTAATGGAACCCTTTTATTCAATACTTTTTGCATCATCCTTTTGCCAAGAGAACAGTTCTGAGTCTTCACCTATAATGTCTGATGAGTTTAGAGAACATCTGACAGGAGATCAGAGACCATTCCTTCATACAGAATCTTTCCAGATCCTTCAGATTCCCAGCTGCTCCTCTTCAGTTCACCTCAATCATCTTCTACAGGGTTCAGCTCAGGGGACTGGAATGGCCATGGCAGAATATTCCTTTTGTGCTCAGTGACCCATTTCTGTTTTGATTTTGGATCATTGTCCTGTAGTAAGATCCAAGCGTGGCCTATTATAAGATTTCTAGCATGGACAGTCAGTTTTGAATTTTTTATCTGTTGTTATTCGATAGAAAAATACACCAACAACATTAAAGATGCAGCAGTATATTTCATTGTACACAAGGGGTACTCTTTTACTCCTGTGTGCACCAAACATATCTTGAGTGTTTGCTGCTAAAAAGCTCTTTTTTTGTTTTGTTTAATCTGACCATAGAACCCAGTCCTGTTTTGCTGTAGTTTGTTTTTGGATGAGAGCATTTTCTTTTCTTGATTTTTTCCGTGAAAGCCTCCCGAACAACATGTGGTGATGTCAGAGCTGTTTGGCATTTTTAACTCATTTCTGCTATTCTGCAGCTGTGACCCTTTGAGAGCCTTTAGCTACTCAAACTCTCCTCCTCACTGTGCATTAGGTCGATCTAGACACACGCTCTCTTCCAGGCAGGAATGGGAATTTTCAATGCTCTAGCTCTTTTCTTAAAGCCACTTTCTAATTTGTGAAGCTCGATTATCTGTTGCTGCACATCAGAACTATATTCTTTGGTTTTACTCATCGTGATGGAAGATTAAGGGAATTTGGCCTTTGTTTTCCCTCATATTTATATTCCTGTGAAACAGGAATGGCTGGATAATTTCATGTTCATAATCACACTGGTGTGCTAAAAAGGGTAATTATGAATGGAATATACTTCAGAGATATTTTACTCATAAGAAATTCTAAGGGTACCAATAATTGTGGCCATTGTGCGTAAGAGAAAATAATATAATGTTGACACAATATAAAGTACTTGCTCTGGCCCTTGTTTTAAATGATTTTGTTCCGTCGTTGTGCTTCTTGTTGTCGTCTGTTGCTGTTGTACAAGCACGATGTAGTGGTTGGTCGGGGTGGAATTAGCCCCGCCCCTCCTCCACTGTGATTGGTTAGCTGTCTAAAAAGTGACAGTGATGAGCTCTGCGTTTTACCCAAAGATGAACATTCTTCAACTCTCGGCACCGAGAAAAACCGCCAATTTTGCCTTTTTTTTGTTGGAGCACACCAGCTTACTGATAAACTTGAGGCTAACGTATTCATACAAAAGGCCCAAAAACTTCCAATTTGATTTCAAGTGGACTTCCAACAATAATATGGACTTAAAAAATATCTTCCAAAAGTAATATACACACTGAAACAATTTGGTGTAGAAACCATTTGCAGTAAATTTTACAATTAATTAGAAAGAAGTGGCAAGTCACATGTGAAATTTTTAAGTACATAAACATACTCCAAAAATCGTTGTTTTATTAAAAACTTTGAAATGTTTTTATTACTTTTATTCTAGAATTGTATTTTAACGTTAGGCTTATGTTTGCTAAGCAATGTAGAAACTTGGCAATTCATATGAAATGTGTGGTCATATGTGCATGCTTCTCTTAAAATAGTTGTTTTTGTTGCATTTAGCAGGTTATTTTGGTGTGATTGCACATCTGATGGCGGAAACTCACTGTAAGTACTCAGCAGGCTCTCAAACTGGGCCACCAGCCCGACGGCGTGCAGCTGTCTGAGAAAGCCCTTATCTTCCAAACCTGCGTATAATCGCATGACAAATCCACATGCCAGCGCAGCCAGCTGCGGATACACAACATATATATCTTCACCAATAAGATGTGAAGCATAAACATAAACAAGCTTCTCGACAAATTCCATCAATGCTGAGTGTTTGATTTAAACACAGTTTGGAATCTGTAGTCTAGTTTTCCATCAAAGTTAGAACACAAAACTCTTTTTTCAACACAAGGTCAGATCGTGTGTCTCTGAAATGAGGAGTGTTTGGCCACTCACTGCCTGGCTGAGGACAGCGTCCCGTCTCTGCTGCAGCTGCAGGCCCTGTGCCGTGCTGCACACCGCCTCCTGGAGCAGGACGAAGCTCACGGAGCGCCTGGCTCTCTCCGCCACTTCTGCCACACACTCCTTCAATGACTGAATCAGGACGCCGAGCTGATCCTGCCAAACTGTAGCTGTCAGGGGAGGATCTGAGGAAAAACAGGACAAATGTGAGCCGCTTTTCCAGTAATGAGTTTTCCGAACCATTTGAGAGACCTGTTTTCCACAAGTACACAGATGGTCAGTATTTATAAAATAATGAAACTGGATATTTGAGATCGCATAATAGCTATAGAGAGCAGCAGGGATGATTTATTAACACTTCCATCCTTCTGACATCAATGTGCTTTTGGATAAATGTCTGAAATAAGGTCCGTGGTGAACACAAGTCAAGATATTTTCATGTTTTATTTAACATTTTACAGTCCTGTGCCTTCCACAGACAATACAAATACATATAAATACATTTAGACCACTTAACTTAGTGATTGATTGCTATCGGGATGTGAAGAGACTTTCAACCAGCATAACTGTTACGCCCTGACTAGAGTAAAATTTACAATGCAGTTGGGAAATTTAGCTTCAGGAGCCGTCAGAGCCAAAATAAACAAAAACCAACAAATTATTATATACCTCTAACTGCCCTAGATGTTCTGGCGATAGAATTTATAAAATTTGTGTTAATTTGTGAAGATTATCATGAGGAACAAAACGGATAAATCCTATTGGATATTGGAACCAGGGTGATGCTAACTTCAGGATTAGCCTACAACAATACAATCATCACTGCAGCGCTCTATTGGCTAGAGAAACAGCACGTTTTAACATGAAAGGTCACTGATATAAGTGTTTATATTTAAAACAATATGCATGAATATTATTATGAGTCGCTCACAATCAGAGCAGGAATGTGCATTAAGCGAATAGGGTCCATTTGGATGTAGGCTTTAAAATCAGACCAAAATGATGCAAAACATGGAAAATGAACAGTTCTGGTTTCTTCAGCAGAAGTCGGCACAAGCCATGTTTACACTTGCTGTAAGTAAACCTGAATTTAATGTAGCAGTCATTTGTTCATTCTTTGTGCAGTTATGTTCAGGTTTTTTGAGGATGATGGCATGTCACAACCAGTCTATGTTGCCTTTTATCTAATCTGACTCTCTTGCTCCAAGTGACAGATGAAACACACAAAAAAACACAAGTATTTGCATTTCCTTTTGATGAAAGTTAATAAGCCTGTTTATTTATGCATGCATGACCTCATGGTTAGTTGCATTATATTATTTGCATTTAGCATTATGTTTAACCCTGCTAGGTAAAGCTAAGGATTTAATGGAATAATGAAGTTATAAAAGTTTTTCAATCTTCAATTAATAAAGTTTCAATCTACTATTCTACTATAATCTACTATTATAAAAATGGCAGAGTTTGTTTTTGAGTGCTGTATAAAGGAATTAAAAAGGATACCGCTCTCTCCTATATAAAGCAGCCCACCCGCTGGTAAGATCAAGAAAGCAGATCAAGCATTAGAATAAGCTGTGTTCAATTCTTGAGGCCTGCACGAGTCTGTTTTCTAAACTACAGACTAAGACAACTACAACTCTTATCAAAGTCCTGAGAGCTGGGACACAGAATTAAAGAATTAGCCGATATGACCTTTGGGGCACTAGAGACCAAGTCTCGGCTTCTTTGTCCAAACATGGTCTGAGAAATATATAAGAACAACAATGGTTTTGCTCCATCAACAAAAATAGCTCCAAAACACATGAAGTAATACACAAGCAATACACAGTAGTGGAGTTTCATTAATGAGTCAATGTTTTTGAACGGATCTCTTGAACAAATGATTCAATGATATACTAATCAAGACAGCTACATGCGTTGTTCTTGAACTAATTAATGCTTTTGAAAAAAATTGCTAAACAAATGATTAATTGACTCATTTGTAAAGACAGTCACATGCTTTGCTCCTGAATTAATTAATGTTTTTGAAGGAATTGTTTGAAGAAACAATTAAATGACAGTCACTTGCTTTGTTCCTGACTGAATCAGTGTTGTTGAATGAATTGGTTGAACAAACAATTCAACTTCCCCTTTAAAAGACAGTCACTTAATTTGCTGCTGAATTAATTCATATTTGTGAACGAATCGGTTGAACAAATGATACAATGATTTCACTCATAATAGCAGCCCTTTGTTTCACTCCTGACTGAATCAGTGCTTTTGAATGAATAGCTTGAATGACAAATTCAATGAGTCCAAAATAGATTTTTTTTAAACAAATTGGTTGAAAAAAAAATGATACAACAACTCACTCATAAAGACAGTCACTTGCTTAATTTCTAACGGAATCAAAGTTTTTGGATGAATCAGTTGAACGAAGAATTCAATGACTTACTCAAACAAATAATTCAGAGACTTTCTCATAAAGACAGTCACTTAATTTGTTTCCACGAATCGGTTGAACAAATGATACAATGATTTCACTCATAATAGCAGCCCTTTGTTTCACTCCTGACTGAATCAGTGCTTTTGAATGAATTGCTTGAATGACAAATTCAATGAGTCCAAAACATTTATACAAATTTGTTGAAAAAAAATGATACAACAACTCACTCATAAAGACAGTCACTTGCTTAATTTCTAACTGAATCAAAGTTTTTGGATGAATCAGTTGAACGAAGGATTCAATGACTTACTCAAACAAATAATTCAGAGACTTTCTCATAAAGACAGTCACTTAATTTGTTTCTGAATGAATCAAAGTTTGTAAACAAACTGGTTGAACAAATGATTCAATAATTCACTTCATCCCTAAATTAGTGAGAGTGTTTAAACAAACCAGTTGAACGAACAATTTAATGATTTATTTGTAATATTTTGACATATTTTGTGGTTTTCACATTTTTTACCACATCACTAATCACAGAAAATATAATTGATACATTATCTATTTATATAAATTTACATTATATGTATAATTTTAATAATCACTGTAAAAGTATTTAATAAACTTGTTCAGGCACCTGCCATTTTCCTCATAAAAATCATTCTAAATGTCAGATGCAGCTGTCCTGCTGAAATTTCACATGAACTAGCTTGTTATCTTTGCCATTTGTCATTCAGCTCTGTGAATCGCAATAAATCATTTGTTGTTTTAGACAAAAGTGCATGAGAAAAGCACTTTAATCTTTAATCCATAGACTGAATCTGCCTGGCTCCTTTCATTGTGCCTCCGTGTTTTGCAACAAGCTCTGCGTTTGAATGTGTTTTGCATTAGTCACCAGATTTTTGGCACTATTATCCTCATTTGAATTGAGTGGCTTTTTTCAATTTCATGGAAACATTCATTTAAAGAGTCATGTTCAGTAGTTTGGTTCCCACCCAGGGTGTATTCACACTGATGATCAGAATTCCCAAGTTTATTAAATTCCTTATTTTTTTATGTGCATGACACGAGACATCAACCTGAACCGGTCTGACATCATTTCATCACGACTTTGAATGACAGCTGATTTCATGTGTTATGTGAAGTATTTGCACAGACACAATAACGTTTTGTACAATATGTTGCATGTAATGCTGACACTATTGCACAAAATGTAAACACTTATGACTTTGAGTTCTTCAAAGACGCAATCTTGTGTGAGAAAACATTAGCATTAGCACACATTTGCATTCTTGTTAACAAATGATTTAGTACTTTTGCAACATTAAAACTTTGAAACTGCTGCGGTGAAAATATATTAGTAAGCGGACAATATTTACAAAATCCGTAATAAAGAATCAATAACCAATTGCTTTAACATGACATGAAGGCTTAACCTTTTTGCTGAGAATTCCAACTTTTATGTTTTAAGTTTGATATTCAAAATTATGAATTTACAAAATTGTCAGAAATGAAGTATAATATGAGCTCAGCATAAAAAAAGCATCACTGACATTCAGTAAATTCATTATACAGTGAACTGCAACAAGATTAACCACAGCATGTAGTTGGTGTCCACATGGTGGCAGCATTGGCTGTATTAAAAACTGTATTGAGGTTTTGCACTCTTCTACTGCTTGTCATTGGTTGTGTAGGTTTTTCAGTTTAACAGCACTGAGTGTCAGAAGTTGCCTTTAACTATTCCGTTCTGACAGAAGATTCATGGATGGTGCTAATATTCATCTCTCAACTGACATGTCTCACATGTGCTCGAGAAACAAAAAAGAAAAAGGCATGGGTTGTTATTAAAGCGTGCAAAAAAAGCGCACAACCAGTATATGTGTAGTGAAAAATTGTCACAGAGAACATCTCGAGTGAAGTGGAAAATTAGAAACTTTTCTAGGATGCCTAAAGTTGGCGACACGTGTGGAATATTATTATTAAAATTAGGAGGAACAAAATGACGATATATCTGAACATTTTTGTGCACTATTCTCTACTTAAGACTTTTTTTTAAATTACAAAATTCAGTAAAACTTGAAACCTTTATGTACAATGCATTATAAAGGTATTCATAATGTAAGCTGTAATGCAATATATATACATAACCATAAATAATTCTAACCAACATTAAAATGCATTATTACATTTGGTGTTACATCGGAAACAGATTGTTTGTCGTATTTTAATGCATTTTATTTTATTAAGGTGTAGCAATGAATATATAAGTATTAAAATGTATTATAACTGTGGTTACAATTATTAATAGGATCAAACAATGCACTGTAAGGTGCATTACAAGGCATATTTAATGCATTACAATATTTTTAATAATGCATTATATATACAGGCTTCAAGTACTGTAAAGTGTTAACCAAAATTCAAATGATAAATCACATTTAATTTCAAATCCTCATAATCGGAAGCAAAAAAAGAAAAGAAAAGTCATTTTCATAATCAATCCAGAACAACGTCATAATTAATTAAATCAAAAGCATGATAATGAAATGATACAAATGATACGTTTTTCTTTTTTTCCACTGTTTATGCTTCACCATAAAAGGAAATGAAATCACCTTTAGGCAGTTAATTGATCATCCAAGCAGCTGTTTGATGCATATTTGATGTATTATTTTAGCATTTAAGCATTGGACGGTTCGTTGCAGCTGCAGTCTTAAGTTTTTATAGATCATTTGAACATTTCTAATCTTTGTCGTTTGCCGTACCGGGACTGTGTGAGGTGATGACGTCAGCGAGCATGTGGCTGGGTGCTGATTCCAGGTTGTTGTTGTCTTGCTCCTGTAGTTTATCCACCAGGGCGATGACACAGTTCAAACTCTTCGCCACACTGGCCCAGACCCTGTCCTAGAAGAGTCAAAGCAAACGTTAAAGGACCAGCACGTACATCGCAAAAACCTGACATGTAAATATGAGTTTATGGGCTAACCAGACACAGCTGTGATCAGCAATGAGTGTGCGAGTAACTTTTGTATTCTGCACAAACATGGAACAATAATAATTTGAGATTTGATCTTATTTGATTCATCGTTTCGGATGAACGGATGTAAAGATTTTAGGGGCAAAAGTTTTATATATATATTTCTGTCATGACAACTCTCGGAGGGATTGGCATGGTAATGCACATGTACATGACAATGTTAACGTATTTGGTCTTGGCGGAATAGATCTGCTGCTGCTGCTGCGGCAGAGCAAGTACCGAGACTTGCTACTGCCAATACATCCACAACATGCTGCTGTGAGCATGTAAGAAACATTGCTGCTGCTGCAAATATAACATACATGAAATAACCCCCATATAGCATACATGAATCACCTTGTAACAGATCTATACAAGTGGAGCTGGGGAAGGTGGAGCGTTTCTGAAGCAAGCTGCAACTGCTACGGCAAGCACTAGTCATATATTTGAATGTTGAGCAGAGAGCTCATTGGCTACCGATACAGGAGAGAACCAATCAGTTGTGCCATGTGATAATGATGTCATTAGGTCAGATTGAGTTAGACCTATCGGACTGCGCCATCTAGAGTTTCATGCCAGAACTCTGTATGTATATTAGGGATTGGAAGATTCCCCGATTCGCTTGGTGCATTGGGATAAAAAGTTAAGGATGCGATGCATCGGTTTAAAAAATGTGTATCGGCTACAAGCCGGCATTTGTATCTCGATGCATCGTTTCTAACATATTTGAATCAGTATTTGCATCGGCATACGATTTATTTATATATAATTACTAGTGGATGCACTATACTTTTATTACTTCAAAAGTGACCAATAATCTGTGATCTATGTATTTGTTTCTCAAACGCGTTCTCTCATCACCACTGCTGCGTGAATATGACGAATCACAACACCACGGAGACCACAGGAAAAGTCCAAAACCTGACTTGAAATAACCTAACAAATCAATCGGGGCTAAAGCGGTTCCATAAACGACAAATTAAATTCACACAATCTCACTAATTTGTGCACGCTAGTATCTTAATGTCGATCATGGATCAAATCGATCCACCATGGCAAACAGCGAATATTCGTGCTGTTTAATGCATTTGAGACGTTGTGTTTTCCTCAGTGCATAACTGACATGTCACAGGTATATTTTTCATCTGTAAATGTTAGAAAGTCATGCGAATATATCCATTTTGCTGTCAGGAGTGGGCGAGGCTAATGCGAGTGAACGAGCACTGCTGACGGCGCGCAATCGAATAGGAGCGCAATAATTCTGAGTAAAATATACATTTTGCTAAAATATTTGTTGTTAGACATTAAATGTGCCTTTTGTAGAGGGAATATTACATGACACGCTGATCCTTTAACAATGCATTGGTGCAAAAAACGCACACATTTTGGACAAATCTGCCACAAATATTTGGACAAATGTGCCACAAAAGTGCCACAAATACTGCCTAAACAAAATACTGATTTTGTGCACTTTATTCACTGTACCAACATTTTTAATTGGCCTTTGAACTTAGCTTTATTGCATGGCACAAAAAAAAAGTGTTACCTTGCCAAAGCACTGACAGAGTCCACTGATCTAATGGCGTTGTTGAGCGCTCCAAATCAAACTTTGCATGCAACAATCAGGCAGCAATTGACAGCACTCTGATCTAGTGGCATACAGGCATCGTCAGATTGACAGTACTCTAGCCCAATAATGTTGGGGGATCCAGTGGGGGCGGCAGTCATATTTCAGGGTGACCGTGCCACTCTTTATCACAACCCTGCTAAAAGTGCCAGTACGTGCGCTCATTGGCACCCCTTCAGCTGGTGGTGCCCTAGGCGACCACCTAGCTCGCCTATGCCTAGAAACAGCCTTGAAGGTAGCCTACAGCTGTCATAAAACCAGAGAGAGCCTTTCGGCTTGGCTAGAAACTGTATAAAAAAAAGAAAAGTAAAATAATAGCATTCCTATTGGTCAGTGTTAGAGGAACTCAGTTTAGTCTGATAGTTAACCTGCTTTAGACCAGGTTAGTTTCCCAGCATAAGTTGCCACGGTGACTGAAGTTGATCTATGTTAAATTTGCTTTATGGAACCAAATCATTTGACAATGAGTCCGAGTAACTGAAATAAGCCTGGCTTATTTGGTAAACTTGTTTTATGAAACAGGCCTTGAGGCATTAAAAGTGATCATATTTTTTCCATTGTATCGTATTGCATCGAATCGCATTGTGTTGAATCGAATCGAATCGAATTGAAATCGGATCACACTGCATCGTAATAGGGGTGAATCGTATCGCATTGCATCGGTAGCTGCTTCATATGTATGTTTAATGTATCGTATCGTTGGCTATGCATCGAGATGCGTATTGTATCGGCCTCAGTCATGAGATGCACATCCTTAATGTTTATATATATATATATATATATATATATATACACACATTTAGTCATTTAGTAGATGCTTTTATCCAAAGCGACTTACAAATGAGGACAATAAAAGCAGTCATATGTAATATATGAATATGTATAGAGACATAGAAAATACTATAAATAAATATATATAAATACACACTCACAATCATGAGCACATATGTAAAAATATTTATATTTAACAGATTAGCATTTAAAGGTTTCTTTATTTATTTTAGGAATCATTTAAATGTCATTATCTGAAGCTGTGCTCGACTCCTTTCCACAAGTTTCTTCAACAACCAAAAGATGACATGTGCCTTCTGGGGCCTTATTACAGAAACTTCATATCTTAAATCTTAAATTAAGATCTAGACGAGTTCAACAGAATGTATATAGTTCCTAATTGAAATTCGGCATGGTTACTAAGGATGTTTTTGTAATACGGCTCCTGATCTCATTTAAAACCAATGTAGAAGCTGCTCTCTGGACTAAAACAGCTGCTACACACACACACACACACACACACACACACAATCATACCACAGACCACAACTGTCAGATACAGTTCAACTTCAGCTCAGATTTCATATGCTGATGTTGTTAGTTAGCAAAAACAACATTTTTATTAAGAAATATTATCTTATTATTAGATAAGATGGTCTTCCTCTGCCTTACATTTAAAGCCAAAGCAGGAGGAAAACAATCGAGCGCATTTGATACTTTAAAAGTAAAATATCCTCGAAAGAGAGTGTGGGTTTGCTCTTTCTATTTTATTGTACAGAATCAATAATATGATGTTTAATTAAGTACTTACTGGATACTCCTACTACATTTATTCAAACTGATACAAAAGCAGCACTTCTATTGCCTGACAGAGTTAAAAGCAATATGAATATGAAACATTCTGACAGCAAAAATGACATACTTCAGCTATGAATATTGGGAAGATTCATCATCTTAATGTACAGCAAACATCAGGCATGGTTTCTCCTTCCCTCCTGTGAGTGGCGCTCAACGACACACAAGTTATTCTGGCATTGATTAGAGAGGCTTGTCTTATCTTGTCCTCTAATCCTCTCCTGTTAGCCACGCCAAGAGCTTGTAACACTCCAAAGAGAAAGGAAAAATTTAAATCGCATCATATGACCCCTTTAAAAAACATATATGCAAGCTTAGCCCAGGCGATACAAAAGTAACATATTGCATTACTCTCCATAAAAAGTAACTAAGAAATGCAGTTACTTTTTTATAGAGTAACGGAATATTGTAATGCATTACTTTTAAAAGTAACTTTTCCCAACACTGTTGGCTATCCACCAAAATGAGTTGAAAAATATCAGCAAATCTGAAAAAAAACAAAAACAAATCCAGTATTGTGCATTCCTACACCAAATGCATGAACACTCAGAAGTGAAAACACTTGCCCATTCCTCCTCGTCGTACTCCTTGTGGTGCGGGATGGAGTCGGAGCGGACTGGAGATGCTCGGCTTTCTTTCGGCGGCGTCTGAGAGCCGTCCACATTGTTACAGATGCTGTGCGGTTCCTCGGGGGCACTGGGGTGCGGGTCGGCCTCACGTGGGCTGGATGGAGCAGAAGTCTGACTTTTGCTGATGTATCCAGGACGGGCGGCATGCAGCGCCAGGAGGGCGCTCTTCACCAGCTCATCCTTCAGAGCGTGAACAAACTGCTTCGTCTGCAGACAGAGGAGAGGTTTGATAAGCCAGCGTTTAATAACCAACATTTCATTAAACTACAGCGCAGCATTAGAGTGTGTGACAAAGATTAAAGGGACGGGGATGAGAAGCGTATCAGAAAACTAATAAGCAGACAAGAGCAAACAGCGATGGCACAGTCGATAGAAAGAGAAGAGAACGCAGAAACACACACACACACACACACACACACACACACAAATACACACTCTTGAAGGCAATTACAGGAGCCAGACACCGCAGCTTAACATCCACAACTTATCACACTCTTGAGCCCCTAAATATGTGATTTGAGTTTGTGGTCATCCTTCAGGTTCTGTGGTAAAGTTTTCCACTAACAGATGCTAATAGTGGTTGCTGCGTGTGCTGAAGTCACTGGCTCAGTTGCTAACCTGATCCCTATCTCGCCTCTGGTCCTGAGGGATGATTGAACCTCTCAAGATCCTATCAAATATGTCCTAGCTCAAGCGCTGTCAGACTCTCTGAAGAGCTGCAGACACAAGCAGCACACGTGCAGAGTACGGAAGCCCGCTTCTGCCACTGAATAAAAAAGAAAAAAGATAGTGACTTTTTTTCATGGAATTGCGAGTTTATATCTTGCAATTCTGATCTCATAACAGGCAATTGCAAATTTATATCTCACAACTCTCAAAAGTCAGAATTGCAAGAAATAAACTCGCAATTGCAAGAAACAAAAAGTCAGAATTACGAGATTTAAACATATAATTGCAGAGAAAACAGTGCAAATTGTGAGATAAAAAGTCGCAATTACCTTTTTAATTTTTTATTCAGTGGCGGAAATGGGCTTCCATAGCAGAGAGACTGAAATTTTGCCCTGAATTTTTTTTTTTTTAAATTTTTGACCAAAATTTTGGTCAAACCGATTTTGCCCTGAGGCTTATTAATTTAACTTTTGATGTGAAACTGCCTTTAAAGTTGCCAAAAAATAAAACTTTTGGGTGATTTGTTATTAAAGGGGTCATATGACATTGCTAAAAAGAACATTATTTGGTGTATTTGGTGTAATGCAATGTGTTTATGTGGTTTAAGGTTAAAAAAACACATTATTTTCCATATAATGTACATTATTGTTTCTCCTCTATGCCCCACCTTTCTGAAACACGTCGACTTTTTCAAAGTTCATCGGTCTGAAAAAGCGAGGTATGCTCTGATTGGCCAGCTATCCAGTGCGTTGTGATTGGCCGAATGCCTCAAGCGTGTGACGGAAATGTTACGCCCCTCACCATACTGTGATGCCGTCTCCCAGCAGGACGAGACAAAACCATTAAAACCCATTATAAACGAGGGATTTGTTGCATCCAGTGGGGACATAATTAACGAGCCGTTTTAGGTAGGCGTGGTTGACTCTTAACTTTTATAAAGAATATCTCTTTGGATTTGAGACTTTAGTCTTTGCAACTTTACAGATCTTCTTTATGCACCAAGAGCTTGTAACACTCCAAAGAGAAAGGAAAAATTTAAATCGCATCATATGACCCCTTTAAAAAACATATATGCAAGCTTAGCCCAGGCGATACAAAAGTAACATATTGCATTACTCTCCATAAAAAGTAACTAAGAAATGCAGTTACTATTTTATAGAGTAACGGAATATTGTAATGCATTACTTTTAAAAGTAACTTTTCCCAACACTGTTGGCTATCCACCAAAATGAGTTGAAAAATATCAGCAAATCTGGAAAAAAAACAAAACAAATCCAGTATTGTGCATCCCTACACCAAATGCATGAACACTCAGAAGTGAAAACACTTGCCCATTCCTCCTCGTCGTACTCCTTGTGGTGCGGGATGGAGTCGGAGCGGACTGGAGATGCTCGGCTTTCTTTCGGCGGCGTCTGAGAGCAATTACCTTTTTAATTTTTTATTCAGTGGCGGAAATGGGCTTCCATAGCAGAGAGACTGAAATTTTGCCCTGAATTTTTTTTTTTTTAAATTTTTGACCAAAATTTTGGTCAAACCGATTTTGCCCTGAGGCTTATTAATTTAACTTTTGATGTGAAACTGCCTTTAAAGTTGCCAAAAAATAAAACTTTTGGGTGATTTGTTATTAAAGGGGTCATATGACATTGCTAAAAAGAACATTATTTGGTGTATTTGGTGTAATGCAATGTGTTTATGTGGTTTAAGGTTAAAAAAACACATTATTTTCCATATAATGTACATTATTGTTTCTCCTCTATGCCCCACCTTTCTGAAACACGTCGACTTTTTCAAAGTTCATCGGTCTGAAAAAGCGAGGTATGCTCTGATTGGCCAGCTATCCAGTGCGTTGTGATTGGCCGAATGCCTCAAGCGTGTGACGGAAATGTTACGCCCCTCACCATACTGTGATGCCGTCTCCCAGCAGGACGAGACAAAACCATTAAAACCCATTATAAACGAGGGATTTGTTGCATCCAGTGGGGACATAATTACAGATTATAATGACTTATACTGTCTTTTTACGCGTTGCGTATCGCGCTGCGTAAACATAAAACCATGTCTGCATTTGTGATCGGAGAAATGACAAACAACAAGTGCTACTCTACACTGCCCAAAACTCACGTTTGAATCATCAGTGGCAAATTATTTAAACATTAAAAACGTACTTACAGGCTGTGAGTCAGAAGCGTCAGACTGTCCTTGCACAGTTGGAACTGCCCAACTTTATAGAAACAGCCTTTGTGCCACAGACACATTGTAGTTAAAGTTACGCCGCCTTTTTTTTGTGTGAACATTTGGGCGGCGTTATGCAAATCTTCCCACATCGTGACGTAGACATGTGGGGGCGTGTTAGAACGAGACGTTTTAGGTAGGAGTGGTTGACTCTTAACTTTTATAAAGAATATCTCTTTGGATTTGAGACTTTAGTCTTTGCAACTTTACAGATCTTCTTTATGCACCAAGAGCTTGTAACACTCCAAAGAGAAAGGAAAAATTTAAATCGCATCATATGACCCCTTTAAAAAACATATATGCAAGCTTAGCCCAGGCGATACAAAAGTAACATATTGCATTACTCTCCATAAAAAGTAACTAAGAAATGCAGTTACTTTTTTATAGAGTAACGGAATATTGTAATGCATTACTTTTAAAAGTAACTTTTCCCAACACTGTTGGCTATCCACCAAAATGAGTTGAAAAATATCAGCAAATCTGAAAAAAAACAAAAACAAATCCAGTATTGTGCATTCCTACACCAAATGCATGAACACTCAGAAGTGAAAACACTTGCCCATTCCTCCTCGTCGTACTCCTTGTGGTGCGGGATGGAGTCGGAGCGGACTGGAGATGCTCGGCTTTCTTTCGGCGGCGTCTGAGAGCCGTCCACATTGTTACAGATGCTGTGCGGTTCCTCGGGGGCACTGGGGTGCGGGTCGGCCTCACGTGGGCTGGATGGAGCAGAAGTCTGACTTTTGCTGATGTATCCAGGACGGGCGGCATGCAGCGCCAGGAGGGCGCTCTTCACCAGCTCATCCTTCAGAGCGTGAACAAACTGCTTCGTCTGCAGACAGAGGAGAGGTTTGATAAGCCAGCGTTTAATAACCAACATTTCATTAAACTACAGCACAGCATTAGAGTGTGTGACAAAGATTACAGGGACGGGGATGAGAAGCGTATCAGAAAACTAATAAGCAGACAAGAGCAAACAGCGATGGCACAGTCGATAGAAAGAGAAGAGAACGCAGAAGAAAGAGAAAAAAGACACAAAAGACATGCTGGTTCTTCTGAAACAACAACAACAACAACATACATTCAAGGACAGGACAGCCTCATTCATATTCGTAGGTATTTGTACATATGTATATTTTTGTATGTTTGGAGAAACTCTTGAAGTAGGTCCAAAAGTCTAATTTCACATTAAAAATCTCATCGTGAGAATCATGACTAAATGAGTTATAAATTTGAGCTGAGAAATAACTTTTTAATGTCAAATTTATTTATAAATGAAATCAAGATGGGACTAATAAAATTAGCATTATTTGTAACTGAATTTAATTATCAAAACTTAATAAATGTAAAACTGCTGCAATGTAAAATTGTTTTACTAATTAGTTTGTGTGCTGTTTCCGTTTGTTGAAGGCTTAGAAACTAATGACTGTCACATTAGGGAAATTAATTGCATTAAATAATGGTTTTAAACATACTTAATTAATTATTCCATGAACCTCAAAAGTCTTGAACATCTCTAGTTCAAGTGGACAAATGGACAAAAATATATATATTTTAAATAAAACTTTTAAAATGGCTGTTTGGTTAATGCGATTTAAAATAAAATAAAATAAGTTATACATGTTCTAAAAGATATAAATATATATGTATAATATATATGGAACTATATAGTTCCAAAACATTATAATAATATCTAAATAAAATAAAAAATATAAATATATAAAATAACTAATTCAAATGTATAGTTCTAAAAGATTTTGGAGTTACAACTGCTATTTGGTCAAAATGATAGTTCTAAAAAATAAAATAAAATAATGATTTTGACTCAATTTCTCAAACTGCTGTTTGGTTAATATGGTAGTGTAGTAAAGTAAAGTAAAGTAAAGTAAAGTTAAAAGTCAATTAAGTTGATTAAAAATGTTTTAGAACTATATAGCTGCAATTGCTGTTTGGTCAAAATGCTAGTTCTAAAAATAAAATAAAATAATAAACTAAACTAAACTAAACTAAACTAAACTAAAAAATAAAAAACAAAAAATAAAATAAAATAAAATAAAATAAAACAGTCGCAGATGGTGTGTGTAGTGTTGTACAGATCTAATGCAAGACCAACACGCACCCACACAAACACTGGCTCACGGCTGGAGATTTCTATCAGCAGAAGCGTCTGATTCAGCGAGTGATCACGCGGCGGCCGACACACTGCTAATCAAGGAGGTGAAGAGAGGCGGCAGAGAGAATTAAGCAATGAAGGCGGCTGATTGGCCATATTTCGCCGTGGCAGAAGCTACTGGTTCAGGAAACAGTCCTCATCCTCCATAAAATGCACAGCACACATCTGAATATTTGGGCTGAACTGTTCTGGAACAGTGTTGTAAATACAACTTAACCACTGATTTCTAGTTGTACTAGAACAAAGTAGTTTCGCTTTCAAAATGAAACACACAGCGACTCCACAACATGGCAGAGGCGGCAACAGCAAGAATTAAAGTTACGCCGCCTTAAACTAAACTAAACTAAACTAAACTAAACTAAACTAAACTAAACTAAACTAAACTAAACTAAACTAAACTAAACTAAACTAAACTAAACTAAACTAAACTAAACTAAACTAAACTAAACTAAACTAAAAAATAAAAAACAAAAAATAAAAAACAAAAAATAAAATAAAATAAAACAGTCGCAGATGGTGTGTGTAGTGTTGTACAGATCTAATGCAAGACCAACACGCACCCACACAAACACTGGCTCACGGCTGGAGATTTCTATCAGCAGAAGCGTCTGATTCAGCGAGTGATCACGCGGCGGCCGACACACTGCTAATCAAGGAGGTGAAGAGAGGCGGCAGAGAGAATTAAGCAATGAAGGCGGCTGATTGGCCATATTTCGCCGTGGCAGAATCTCTGTGTCACAGATTGCACACTGACGGCAGCAGATGTAATTCATTAATTACACACATAAAACATGAAGGCCTCCAAACGAGATGCTCAGCCTGGTGGCTTCTGTTGGCTTTGGCAGAGGGGAACGTGGCAGACCGATAGCCGTTTGTCAAACAGCCTTGATGTCTATTGACCAGTTTCATGCCAAGTTTTGGTGGTCAGAGTGAACGGGACGACACGGTTAATGACTTGCACACGCTGCGTTTGTTGATGTAAAACCTGGTGTTGTCTACAAAAACACAGAGCACATTCACTGCTTTACGATTCAGCATGCAATTCATTTCCAGGATTTATTTGAAAGGTTTTTGGTCAAGGTAACATGGTAATACCCTTTTTTAAGGCCCGGAACTACGGTATATGAATATAGTAATGGTACAGTACAGTAATATACATCAAAGCACCAGGGTATTATCATCTGACTCAGTAGAAGCGTAGTACTTTTGTCTGCCACAGACAGCAAATGTTAGTGACTGGCAGCAACACTAGCCATCATTTCTCTCAGTGATTCAGCAGCAGCTTCAGAATCTGAATAAACTGAGTGTGACAGTAATGTATTTCATTAGAAGATATTTGAGCTATTTGCCTTTAAAGCATGAACATTTGCAGGACTATTAATAGACGCACTATTCTGCCTCATTTTACATTTATGTTACCAAACCAGCGTCTTGAAGATTAATACTTTATTTAAATTTTACTTCTGCTTTAAAACTTTATGCAATTCCAGACTGACTCAGGTATTCAAGGACACTGGCTAAAATTCCTTTCAAATAAAAACACCTCACACCCAGTTATTATCGTAAAAAAAAAAAAAGTATATATATATATATATATTTATATATAAAAAT